CCCGACCAAGACACAAAATGTGTTTTTTTTCAGGAAATACTTTCTCTCCATACACATCTACAAATAGTCTTGCTACAATAATACCCCCATACAAATACTGAAGAAGATAAAAGAAACATACATCGAGAGGGTCCTGGACTGTTCCTTCACCGGGCACTGGGACATCTGCCAGTTCTAGCGTCTGAACTTCAACTATCTCCTGGACAAAAAGAAACACAACACAAAAGTTAAAGTCCTTTCTTGCTGCCATGTGATGGTTAAAACTTTTTTTCTTTTGCTGCCACAAATGTAGCTTTTCTGCTGCACAACATTAACAAGCATCATCTTATCAATGACAACGCCACTGAATTGGCTGCCAGGCGTATCGACTGTGGTTTTGTTATTTGTTTGTGCTGGAACCTCGATACATAAGCACACAATTAAGGTGCCACCAAGCAGCAGGAGGCAGGTTGTTGTCCTGTCTGAAGCTTGGAAAGCTCAAAGGGACTTGTTTGGTTATATAACTGCAAAAATTGAACATATGTTAACAATTTTCTACAACTATGAACGTCTGTATACTTGTTTAAGATGATAAAACACAAGGTGTGGTGTGGCAAAACTCATTTCAGTGTCAAGTAGGAGAACTGCATTGGAATTTACTGGCAACCAAACTGCAAGGTGTTTGTTCAGAAGTAACGCCTGCAGCAACATACTAGAAGTGACACTTGTTATTCAAGCTTGAATGACATTCCCTTTTTACTACCTATCATAAAAGACTCGGGCTGCGATTCTCAGGTCACATGCTTCTTCTGTTAAAGCTACTGGCTGCACCTCTCTACGATTAAAGCTCGCTAGATGTTTCTTCTCCGCCGCCAACAGCTGCCATGCAAAGTGCTCGTCTGGTATCGGGACAAACTCCGGGTTGCTCAAGGACGCTGTGGCACACAGAGAGTCTGGGGGCAAGTCGACAACCTGCTCCGCTGCCTGATCCTGAGTCACTGCATCTGCGTCAGTGGCTAAAATGAATTCATGCTGACAGCGTGAAAACATTTTGTGCTGCACAACAACCTGTGTGTGTGTGTGTGTGTGTGTGTGTGTCATTAGAAGAGTTGATAGCTGAGGTCATACTGTGTCAAAACTCCCCGAGGGACTTTACTGTCATTTAAGTCAATTTATTTCTTTCAAAGTAATCAGCACGTCAGACTTCTGTTCCATCCATTTAACCAGAACAGAATGAGCCACTTGTGTTGTAGTTCATTTAAGCCTACATTCTTTTACCTAATGCATAATTGTACGAAAGATGTCACAGCACACAGGTTGGAATAACGACTGGAACAGATGAGTGTTGTATTGTAGAACTATTCTCTCTTTTTCTGCTGTTAAATAAATCGTCTTTCTTATTGCACTTTTATTCTTCTTCTTCAAAAAATTGAAAACGGTTAGAATCCACATCTACATTTTTAGAATTTCCCACAGTGTGTGACCACTACGACTCCACACGTGGCTCCTTTCTGCTCTGTGTCGACACAGCGCAACCAAAAAGTCCCTGAATTTCTGTCACATGATCGTTTCATTTCAATTGCAGGTGCGAGTCAGCGGCTGGCCAATCAGTCATCTAAGGGCTGTGAAAAAGTTGACAATTAAACAAATGTTTTAGATTGTAAAGTTTGGGGCTTTTAAAAATTGTTTAATGTTGTTAATTTAGAAAAAAAAGAAGAAGAAGAAGAAGTGATGGGCTTCTAGGTTCAAAGGGGGTTAATAAGGTCGTCGTGGTAATTTGGGCTCAGATTGATGGGACGTGTGATGATGCACCTGCCACCAGGAAATCCAGAGATACCGGAGAGACCGGCTGCTGTGCTAACGTGCAGCTCGGCTCAGACAAACACGTCCTGTGGGAGAAATCTGACAGTTTGATGTACGAGTGTTCCATCAAAGAAACTCCGGGCTGCAATAAACCCTGGTCTGTAACAACCAATGTATTATTATTAATTAAAAAGGACGAACTCACTTCACTGCAGCTCAACTGACCTTTGGTGCAGCTTCTCCACTGCACTTTGATTTGTCCATTAAAGTGCACATTTCTCTACCTGCGACTCCCGTCACACCTCCATTTTATTCTCACATGTAGCTTCTGTTTTAAACTGTTTGTAGTCATTATTGGTGTCTTTCTTTGGTCTCGTATAACTAAGCTTCAGAAAAACGCTGCACAAATGAAGCTAATTATTAACAATAAAGAAACTGGTTGATGCATTTCTGTACCTCAGTGTGAACATTAATGACTTTGTGCGAGAAGGTTTATTTAGATTAGATAGAACTTGCTTTTTTTTGTAGGGTTCTTTGGGGAAGGTTCAAGAAGCAGCACAACACTGACAGAATCAATAGCAACACGTCAGTTAAAAAACAGGAAGCAGATTATTAGGAAGAACAGTAAGGTGTGATAATAATAATAATAGTAATGATGATAATAATAATATGTTGTGTCATATATGATAACAATCGGTGTAGTTCCAGGTAAATACAGGTGTGTGTCAAATATATATTGAAAAAATAGATTTAAAACATACATAAATATATATATTAATATGTATATACACAATACCACAGTGACAGTAGAGCGTAGCAGCAATATTAATATTAATATTGATAACTTGCTGTACATTTATATATAGTTTGTAATAGAAATTAATTCTAATAATGATGGAAACAGGACAGCAGTGAGGAGTACAGCATCAACCCGTCTGGACCACTAACCTGAGGGGGTTCCTCTGTGGCAGAAGAGTCCTGTGGAGCCAAAAACACAATTAACAGCACGATAGTAACTACAAAGAAAATACTGCAGGACTAAATATGAGATTAAAAATCAAAAACTGAACTACAAAATGTCTTACTTTTCATCTCATACACAGAAGCATAATGTGAAAGCAAACAGAATGTCAGAATGGAGACCTTCACTTAGCAGCACGATGATGTGAAACCCTGTATGTTGGCTTTACCTTCGCTCCAGAACCAAACAGTCTACCGGGTAGAATCCTCTTTATTATGAAAGTCTGGAGCAGAAAAAACAAAAGAACATTTTTATTCTCACATCTTTGCATCTGCGCACAGTTTAAACCTAAATAAATAAAGAAGGGACAGCGTTCACACTGCACATGACGTTAATCTGAATCAAGGTAAACCAGATCTGTGCTGCTCACCCTTCTTCTCTTTGGGGCCGCCGCTGGCTGAGCTCTCACCTCACAGCTGGTGTCAGCGTCTGTATACCAGATAGACTGAGAGGACGTGGGGTTAGTCTCAATATTAAACCGATATGGATTCAAATAAAGCGCAGCATTCAATGTGAGGAGGCGTGTAGAAGTAGTTCATGATCATTTCCTTATGTCATTTCATTAATAAACATTACAGGGAACTTGTTCTGTGGTTTGATGAACAAATCAAATCGTCTGTTGTAATATCAACCCTCATCAGTCTGAGGAAGCTTGTGTCAGACACCGATAGACATTAAACAAACAAGCCGGCCATTGTTTCCGTTCTTTACGCTCGAGTGCCAGACGGGTCTCTCAGGTGACATGCTTTACATTTCTGCACTCTTGTAATTCCATCAGCATCATGCTACGAGTTTCACAGAGACGGGGGTGAGACGCTCATCGCTGCTGCCAGACTGAGGCCGGCTCACCTCACTTCCTGTTTGCTAAAGCTCGCAAAACACAAAGCAAAGAATGTCGCTGAGACCCGTCCTCTTGAATTTTTGGAATATTTCTTATACTTCCAGCAGAATGAAGAAGAGTTCAGAGGCCTCCCAGATAAAGCTGCAAACAAACCATCTCCTCACTACCACTAAACATAGAGACACATTATTCCAGTTTCAGAGGCTCTTTACTGGCTCTCCATTCAGGATAGCATTTTGTTAGATTTAGTGTTTAACTTCTTTATTGAACTAGCTCCTGATTGGTTGGTTAAACGCAGGTAGAGACGCAGCATTCTGCAGCCTTTACGTCTGAAACAACCTTCCAGGAGATAACATCAAACCACGCCTTTAAACTTCTCCTTTTAGTTTTGCATTTTTGTTGTTTTTATGTAATCTAACGGTGTCTATTTACTACTTTTATTATGTGTTTTATTATCACATGTGATCACTATGGAACAGATAGCTGCCTGTACAAGCTGAAGATTAGATTTTTAATCATTTGTTGAGGAAATTGGGGGGAAAAAATAACTTGCATGTTGAAAACAAAGAGAGGCGCTAAACATCTTACATGTCTCTCTATTGTGGTGTCGTCCAAGCTTTCAGAGCTGGTGGAGTTCTCACTGTGGACGCTTTGGCTCTCCTGTAAATGAGAGAAGAGATGAGGGTCGGATCTTGAGAACATCTTGATAGCAAACGTCAGCAGCAGCAGCACATCTTAAATTATTGTTACTGTCGTCTCAGTTGCTTAATTTGACGCCACACCTTATCCTGACATCAGTCAAAAGTGAGACCAAAAAGTCAAGAATGTGTCAGCGCCACCGATGACTGATGCTGCAGCGACGCATCAAAGCATCTCCATCGCTTCGAGTGCGACTGTTTGCTCACCTGTGCTTTGGCTGCCGAGTCTGTCTGACATTCATCATCCGCCATCTGCATCACAACATTGAGGAAACGTTTAGGAACATGCCGTCAGACATCACAACTGGTTCTTTTAAAATATGTTCTTCTACGCAAACCTAAACATCTAGAAACGTTGTGTTCATACCTGTGTGTAAGACTTGAAGGGGTTTACTTTGTTCATCATCCCTCTGAATATCCCAGGGTTCTGAAATAAAACACAGTAAACACATGGACGCATCACATTCATGTAAACACATGCCTGCAGGTTTTAATCATGAAAGAGATAATAACTGATTAATATTCTCCCAGTAAAGACTGAACTTTGATTTGCTTTGACACCATCTAGTGGTCACAGCAAGAATAACATGGAAACTGTAACGCTGATTCAACAGTTCATCAGAATCATGAGGACTTGTGTTTTCTGCTGGTTTAAAATATCGCTGTCTTGCTTCATCAGGTAATTCTTGAGGGACTCTGATCCAGAAATGACAGCACCAAGGAGCTTCTGGGTGTCGCCCTAGTCTCTCCACAGCACTGTGTGTGTGTGTGCTGGAGGATGTCGTGGTGGTTCGTCATCATCGCTGCTAAATGTGGGCAAAAGCAGCGACGGTGCTGCTGGGGGGCTTCAGATTATTTTGTTGGAACATTTGCTTGCAGGGAGGCGAGTGCCGTCATTGAACTGGTTAATTCAGTAGAAGAGCTGAGCAGGCCTGCCTCACTGCACCATCCTTCAACGTGCAGGTTGCTGGTTCACGCAGCAAAGGAGATTTGACGATGGCTACACACAGATATCAGACGAGGAGGCGAACGCACAGTGAAACTGTCAGGCTGGTATCCAAAGTCTGAATCCAGGGAGTCGGACGAGTTTTACTCACGGTGCGACGTAAAGTTCACCTCTATGAATAACAGCACAAGCATGACTAGAAGTAGAGAGAACGCAGGTCATCTGAAAGCCTCAGACTGTTGCTCACAGCTGTGGAGTGCAGAACTTTATATTTATTAAAGAATTAAGGAGCAAACTTGAGTCACGTAGAGCAAAGTCATTTCTATAAAATGTCCCAATTTGAAGCTTTCTTTACTTTTCCTGAAGGAGTCTGATGATTCTGAGGGTTTTACAGTTTGTCGCTGTGGCAGTTTCGACATACCAGGTTCACAGAGTTAACATAGTGCCCTTAAAAATAATAAATAGATTCAGTTCTGTGGACTATTCTCGTTTCCACAGACCTACCTGCTTCTCTGGCACGTTGTTACCGTCGGTCAGGCTTCCACTGCTGGAGGAGAGGTCATTGTGCAGAGGCTGGGCATCCTGGACAGACGATGAAAACCAAAGAAGCATGTGAACATCTCCAGATATGAGCCTGCTCAGTCCTCTGCCTCCTCCACACACCCCTCTGGTCAGTGTGACCATCAGCAGTATCACAAACGGTACCTTTGGCTGTGAGGACTTGAACGGGTTCACTTTCTGCATCATTCCTGTGAACTTCCCTGGATTCTAAACGATGAAGAAAAGCAGAACTAAACTGAGTCTGGTCACTAATGAGCACATGAGTGAATCGGTGGAATAAACAGAACAGTGCACCTGTTTGTCCTGAGGTTCTTTTCCAGCTTCTTGTGGATTTGCAGAATCATTTTGAGGATCACTTTTTGGCGCCTAAAATCAGTCAGGCACAAATCACAAAGTCGATCACGAGGTCAATCACAAGGTGTAAGAAGCTAAACATGTTTGGAATTTGACCGGTGCCATGTCGGTGGTTTAAAACCAGACGTGATTAGTGAGGAATGGATCAGACAAAGAGCTCCATGACGGTAAAACAACAGCATGTCAATCACAAAGTAGGCACACCTTCATCTATATACGCTCTTTTATTGTCTGTTTTATGCTGCATTATCCACAAAGTGAACATCCTGCTGTATTATTAAGAAAATATTCATCGAGGTCACAAATCAAGTTAGAAGTCGTTTCACTTTCTTAGACTTATTTTAGTGATCAGGAGTCGCCCCCTGCTGGCTGTTACAAATAATGCAGGTTTAAGTCTGTACTGTAGTTCACTTTTCAGATAGACGGTGACAGGACAGCTGCGTAGACAGATTGATGTATGAGAGGCAACAGCTGTCCTCTGGCCGGGAATCAAACCACAGGTGTTGCAGGTAAAGCCTGCTTAGCGCCTTAACTTCCGCCTCCAAACGTCATACGATAAAATTAAATCCACAGCGGAATTTTATATTTTCCCTTACAGCACTAAAAACAGAAGAAATCACTTCAATTTTTTAAAATCAGTCCAAGTATGAGGCTGCAGGACTGTATGTTTGTTAGCAGCTGAGACGCCTCAAAAGCAAACATTCGTTGATCAGAGTAGAGTAGTAAAGCCCGCAAAGCCATGGAGCTAATTTGTTTTTCCTACTCATTAGAAAATCTTTTTTTATGTTTATTTTTTACCTGAGTTTATCTGGTCATATGTGCACAACTTTTTCTGAACATGTGATTATAGGAGCCTGTTTTCCCACAACTGTTTCTGTGACTAACAACTGAATACATTATGAAAAACAGAATGTGTTTATTTCTACTTTGTCTACCAGTTAAGGTGTTAAAATTAAGTTAAAACTGAGGTAAATATAATCATCTAAAAATGATTTTGTCATGCACAGTCACACGTCTTTACAATTTCCACAGCAAGGTTTGGATTTCATTTCACCAAATGTACTGTGTTTTAGATTCATGAACAACATTTTGAATGCGATGGAAGCATTTAATTTAATTTTCATCTGTCAGGTGCAAAACTTCATTACTTTAGTGGAATTGCCAGTTTAATTTTTCAGGGTTCTATTCTGGCCTTATTGTAGCTTTCTTATTTTATTTCTGTATTACACCGCTCTTTTATCTACTATCTTCTTTCTACTTTTTTTTTTTTAGGACACTGCATTTCTTGCGAATTTGTGTGGCTTTATTAAGTCAGCTTCAGAGTTTAAAACTACTCAAAACGCTGCTTTAGCCACAAACAATATGTCCGGTGACTTAGTTTCAGTCAAAGCTCTGAAGCTGCATCTTTAGTTCTGCCGTTTTTGGTGGCCTCATTAAAAGACGATGAGCTTAAACAGCTAAATGCTGGGAATCAGATGCACAGAGTCGGTACCTGTGAGGAAGACTTGAAGGGGTTCACCTTCTGGATCACTCCTTTGAACACACCAGGATTCTGAAACGCAACCAAGTCATTCAGAAAGAACAGTTGAAACCAGAAGTCGACTCAACTTTTCCTGTTTTAGGTCAGTTACGGTTTACCAACATTATTTCTATTTACTAAATGCCAGAATAATGAGAGAGCGTTTTATTACTTTCTTCAAAGTCAGAAGTTTACATATAGTAAGATTACTATGGCTTCAAACTATTTGGGAAAGTCCAGATGATGATGTCATGGCTTTGGAAGCTTCTGATAGGTCAACTGACAACAATGGAGGCACACCTGTGGATGTATGTTAAGGCACACCTCAAACACTCTGCTTCCTTGTGTGACAACATGGAAAATCTAAAGAAATCATCAGGAAGAGAACTGTGGACCTCCACAAGTGATCTGACGGTTTTCCTTCTGATCTTGGCACTGCGCCGTGAAAACTTTCCTCCAATCTTCAGCAAAAACCTCAGTGTGTCCTCCAGTTACAGTCACGCTCATATGAAATGAGCTTGCAAATTAAATATGTGGTAAACGTGGTAGTTAAAGGGACACACACCCACAAAACGATCCAGGAAAGCAGTGGCTAAGTCAGTGACCCTGATGGTGCAGGCGGCTGATGGTGTTACTGAGGAGACAACCTCTGTTCTGACACTCATGCTTCACATGTTCCTACCTGAGTCGAGTCTGAAGCTCGTCCCTGTTCCAGTGACTCTGCAGACGGAGCTTTAGAGACCTGCGTGAGAGAAGCAGGTGAGTTGACACCATGTTGTCTGACACAGATCTCCCATCACCATTGTTACCTTTAAAAACACGCAGACAAAGCTGTGGTTACCTGGGAGGTAGACTTGAATGGGTTGACCTTCTGGATGACCCCTTTGAACACGCCGGGGTTCTGAAAAGTAAGTTTCACACTGATTCAGGGAATGTAAAGCTGCACATTAAAAATCACAGTTTTACTCTCAGTGTCAGGAAATGTCTGAGAAAACTAGGAAACTTAATTATCTTGAGCTGGACGAGTAAAAGAGAAGCGAGTACACCACTGTGCAGATTCACTTCAAGGTCAACTGATTCAAAAATGTATCGCCTCTCAATGACTGAATTATTTCTGAGTTGAACAGCTTTGCTCATGATTCCACTCATGAGAAGTCAAAAACAAATACTTAAGCAGGACTATGTTGAAAATGCAGTTTGCGAAGTACAAAACACACCTGCCAGGACTTGCACACACGTTAGAAAGCCTGAGTACACCTGTGATTTCCAGTTAGCTTAACTAAGTTTGACATAGTCGGGCTCTCTTTGTGTTAGCCGGCTCGACAAAAGCAAAATCAGGAATAATGAGAATAATGAAAGTGGTTTTCAACTTTCTTTGTTAACTCAGACTTTCTGCTTCAGACTTTGTTCACATAAAAAGGACCGTTAACACGTGACTTTTGTTCTGCACTAAATGAAACCATCGTGTGCAGCTGCTTCAGTCAACACGTTGTTTTAACGGAGAACAATGAGGAATATAAAAAAAGTATGACAGTAAAAAGCGGTGTTACTGCAAATGGTGCAAGACAGAAACGCTGATAGAAAACTGGTAAACGTGTTAATAGATAATATTTTGCAGCTGCACGTTAAAGGTAAACTTTAAACCTCATACATTTAAACATGATCTTGTATTGAAGGTCCTTTAGGTCTGACTCTGTCCCATAATGCAGGATATCACTTTGATTTTTGGCCAAATCAGAGCAAAATCAATGTTATTGATTGAATATTCTCTGTAATAAATACCAGTAGAATAATCTGTTTTATAATCTGTTCTATCAGCTGCAGTCGTAGCAGAGGAAACGGACCAATCATAAAAACACATTTATGTGATTTCTGCACCTCCAACTAAATACATGTCAGGTTCCCATGGCAACGCGATGCAAACAGTGTGCGATACTTCAGTGATATTAGTAACGCACAACTCAGCATGTCAGCAGATAAAACGCATTCCCTCGTCTGAGAATCTGTATCGCTCATAGATAATAGTCAGGAAACGATCTGGTTAAAGGGAGACAGTCTTTCCAGCTGACTTAAATCCGAAACTCTGAACACAGCCTGGACCAGGTTAGCTCCACAGCATCAGTTACCATGGAGATCTAGCTCTGCAGCATCAGTAACCATGGAGATCTAGCCCCACAGCATCAGTTACCATGGAGATCTAGCCCTACAGCATCAGTTACCATGGAGATCTAGCTCCCCAGCATCAGTTACCATGGAGATCTAGCCCTACAGCATCAGTTACCATGGAGATCTAGCCCTACAGCATCAGTTACCATGGAGATCTAGCTCCCCAGCATCAGTAACCATGGAGATCTAGCTCCCCAGCATCAGCAACCATGGAGATCTAGCTCCCCAGCATCAGTTACCATGGAGATCTAGCTCCACAACATCAGTTACCATGGAGATCTAGCTCCCCAGCATCAGTTACCATGGAGATCTAGCCCCACAGCATCAGTTACCATGGAGATCTAGCTACCCAGCATCAGTTACCATGGAGATCTAGCCAGGTAAAAAGAGAGCCACCTTCATGACACTAAAAATTCTGACTTTAAATTCAACACACCTGCTAACCCACTAATCTGGCTTCATAGTTCAGCCCTCAGAAGTCTCTCAGTCTTGACAGTGAGTCTATCTGCATGTACTAAAATATACCAGAACACTGGCTGACAGGACGACTCCCAGTCTGCAGAAGCTTGAGGGAAGATGAACATTCCAGCGGGAGAACCACCCAAAGCACACCGACCAAACCACACAGGAGTTTCTAAAGATGGAACCGACGACCTGGACAAGTTAAAACACCTTTGTGGTATTTTAAAGTGGAGCAACACAAACCCTCCGGTGAAGAGCAGCTGAAGAAGAATCGTCTCTGAAGGAATCTGTGCGACTCTGGTACTGAGTGCGTTACTGCATCACACAAGCTTAAACTGGCTTTCACTGAGGGAATAAAGATGGCCTTATGAAGTACTGACTAAATAAAAGACTCGAATCTCAGGAACGACTTCAGTTGCACTGAGTTTCTACTACAGAGGCTGTGTTTTATTTAGTAAATCTAAGATGTTAGCTTGTAATTGCACATGAGAGCAAATACTGTTAAACTTAAAGTAATGCGACTACTGTAAGTAATAAAACATTTAAGTGATTTTGCACAGGAGTGTTTGTGTTGTGTACTGAGTCACAATATTGAAGGATTACTGCGTTATTGTGCTGTCATGTGGGGATCATTTTTATTTAAAACACGATCATTTCCTAGATTGAAGATGTTTGTAATCTGTCTTGTCTGTCATACATGTGGGGCTCAAGAAGTTAACCAGAGTTAGTTTAGAGCTTCTGCTGCTCGATTTTAAGCACTCTGCTTTGACATTAAACCCTCGTGCAGTACTGGATTAATGCAATTGTCATTTAATGCTTGAATCCAGTTTATGTCATTGTGCATCAAAATGCTAATGACCTTCTATTATATGATTGCAAGGAAAGAAAGAGACAAAACCAGAAGTACCGTTTTTATTTCTCCATATTTGAGTCAAATGAGTTTATTATTTTAAACCAGAACTTGTTTGGTACTGAGACAGAGCAACTTTCAATAAAAACACACCTGATATCGGAGGGCAAAAGAAGAAGCAAACATTTGTTCCTCTTTGAAGCAGCCAGCATTAATGAAAGCTGATCAAACAGACGACACATTCATAGAATCCAAACAAACCGACCAGGACGATGGAAAAAGTAAATCTATTTATCACAACTTAAAACACAACCAGCGTTTCCAGATCAGGCGATAATGACTCCTTACATGGTGACAGGAGGAACGTTTCCTGGAGGTTTGGGATTTAGTGGAATCCAGCAGCACATATGGAGGAAAAGTACTTATCAGTAGTAAGATAAGATAAGATAAGATATGCCTTTATTTATCTCACAGTGGAGAAATTCACCTGGAACTAGAAATCACTGTCTTCAGGAGCAGGTCCTGACAGACAAACTGAAGGCTGGCTTTAATAGAGGAACGTGTGTTTTCATGTTGAGGTTTGGCCTCTGCAGGTTCTCTTACATAACTCTACAGGTGTGATTCTCAATGTGTGGCTAAGGTGAGGCTGAAAACAAACTCACCTGCTACCTATATGCCAATCATCTATTCACAAACAAATTCCATTTTTTCCACATTAACTTTTGATTCTTTTGAATTTTCAGATTAAAGTTGCCCATCATGTCCAGCCTAGTGTGGGCATGTTACCCAAGTTTGGTCATTGGTTACTCATGAGTACCTTCAGACTGTAAAACCATTTCTCATCTATAAACATCTAGACTGTGAACTCTCTAAATGCGTGAGAAGAGCTCCACTGGTTGTTGTCATGCTATAAATACGCTGATGCTGCTTTTTAAAGACGTTTATAAAGCAACCTGCCAGTGTTGCATGTTATATTCCTAGAAGGCATGCAGACCATTTTCTAAATCAAAATAAAAAATAGATGCACTCTAGGATTTGTTGTTTGTTTGTATAGTAAATGTTTACTAAAGACCGTTGGCTGGTACCCAGTTATTTTCTAAAACATGACTTCCAACAAACATGAGTCATGGACCTTGTTATATTTACCTTTTTAACTGATTGTTGTATGTTTATGAACTGGCCTCCTGTTGTTTTTCAGCAGCGACTCCTGAGCAACCAAACTGAGTATCTGTGAAGGATGGAGTTGGTTGTAATCTGCAACTTCACCACTAGATGGCAGCAAATCCTGCACATCAGTCCTTCAAACCTGCTGCTGTTTTATTTGCTGCTGCAGTGTGTGGCGTCGGCGTGTAAAGATCTGAGGAGCTCTCTAAGGCCCTACAATAAAAGGCTGGAGATGCCCGTTAGTATCTCAGGGGATTTAAAAACGATTTGAAATAAAAAATTATATTTTCACAGTAAGGAAAGTCATCTACAACTCCTGTAGCTTTCAAACAGCTGCCAGTGTGTCCAGGACTGACTGGAACTGTCAGTTCAGACTAATATCAATTCTATTCAAAGCGACAGGATGGAAGATGTCCACGAGAGGAATGGTGCGACCAGCAGCAGATGTTGGTCGTCTTTGTGTGAACATCTGCATGAACTGTCCACTTGTGAAGGCAGAGGGGTTTGAAAAGCTGAACAAGTTCTTTGGCTTTTCTGAGGTTTAATCCGTCGTTGTCAATCAAACTTTAATATAATAAAGAATTCAACGAGTGTAGGGATACGTTTAAAAACTATTTATGCAACTGAACCGAGTCCTGATTTAAAATGAGTTTAATTGCAGCTCATAACGTCGGCTGTGTGTCTGTCACTGGGTTACAATAAATGACTGAATCATTTGCCAACTGTTTCTCAGATTACATCAAAATATTGGAGGACAAAACCCATCCAGAGCAGAGGACACGACGGCCACGGGGAGACTGTTTAAACCCTGTAGGTACAGGATAAAGGATTCTCTTTCTGAACCGTGTCTCTGCTGATGCTCTTAAGTTTAAACTTTAGCAACACTTTTAGTCATTTTTTGTAGGTTTAAGTTTAGAGTCAATGTGAACCTGGACAAAAGCGACGCCTGTTTGTTTTAACGTAGAGTTCATTCTGGTTTTTACAGCAGAAGATGTGATAAAGATGCTGAAGGTCTTTCCTGAGCAGCTCACAGGGTCGTCTAGTCAGCTGTAACCCTCACACATCGCTTAGACCAGTTTCATCTCAGTAAAACCACAACATAATAATGACCTAGAAATAGCAAAAACTCAAATTGTTTTCCTTTTCTTTTAGTGCAAAAAAAGTACATTATGAAAATCTTTTTACGAAACATTATGAACAGCCTGAAATATCTTAAAGAAAATCTATGTAATCACAACAATATCTATCATTTATGTGTATGACAAGTGACAGATCAGTGTTTCTGCAAAAACCTGAGGGAGAGGCACAGGGCGGACATGTTGAACGTCCAAGGAAGTTACCAAATATGGTCACTTGCCCTGTAAAGGGTTAAGGCCGGATTAGACTCTCTGGCGGGTCGGTTTTGGCCCGCGGGCCGCATGTTTGGCACCCTGGCTTAAACCATTTATGAGAAACTCTTATATAAACTCTTAGATTTAAACATTAATATTAATTAGAAACGTTTCACTCTCTTGTCTTTATGCTGCCACATTTTTAACCCTTTACAAACTGTTGTGGGTCAAACTTGATGAAAAACCTCCTAAACATCTTTTAGCCTCTATTTTATTGACTTTTCCTAAAGTGAGCCAAAACATACAATAATGAAAATAGTTTTAAAGTTTTGTACAGGTGCTTTTGTACAATGAGGCTGTTTTGGGTTAAATTTGAACCAAACTGGTGGTTTTAGGGGATCTTCCTTGTTTTATGTGTAATTTTTTGTTTATTTACATTTATTAATGTGACAAAGGCTATGTAGACATTCTAAATACATCTGTAGTTTAAAATTTGGTATAGACACGTACTATGAGGGAATTCTTTATAAAAACTAACCCGGATCGTTAAATATGAGCAGTGTGTACGGGTTAGAAGTTCACCAGTAGTCCAACTCTGGATATGAAGAAAGCAACAAACCCTCACTTTGGTCATTAAACTGTTGCTCAACTGCATTCCACATAAATAATCATATTTAAATGAACTTCAAACAATCACTTGAGTCCAACATGACCAACAGCCTGAGAGCATCTCTCATGTCCGACACCAAGTCCAGACTGAGTCGGTTCCTTTTTTGACTCAGCTTTTCCACCAACAGGACTGTAGGACGGTGAAGCCCGTCCTGTCTCTATGTGCACCTCAACCAGGTGAATGAATGAATGAATGACCGCCAACAGCCACAGCTGCTGGTTGGGATTGTCAGAGGGCTCTAAATGACTTGTGAACATTATTTCATCCCACAGTCTAGAGTCCTCCTTCTTGGTATCACCAAAACAGCAACGACAAGCACCGAGCCATGCAGGGAGGCGTTGGTGCAGACCTCACTGCGTTATGTTCACCTCAGCTTGAACTGTGTTGCTTTCACATTGTGTTAGGAAAAAAAAAAAATCCACCTCCTTCTCTTTTACCTCCAGTCAAAATGAATCCACTGCCAAATATAGGAACTTTAAAAACATCGACAATTAGATTTCAGCTCAGCAGACCAACACTGAGATGTGTATGTACCGCGCTAGAAGAGCTTTAGCAGCGTAGAAGACTGCATTACTTCTAAATTACGTTAAAAATCTAACAGTTCACACCAAGTCTATTTAAAACACAGGCACCACAGCAGAAAAATGTGAACACAAGTCATTGCTGAGATTCAAATCTTTCATTTTTCCCCCCCCCGATGCTTTTTATGCCGTCTTGTGTTTTTGCTGACGGACTCGACCCTCCTCAGCGTGAAGGTTTCGGCGTCTTTCTGCTCTAAATGTCTCTTTAAATTTTCCCAAAGCTGTTCTGTTGGATTCAAGTCAGGCAGCATACCGTCCACAGAGATCCATATCTGTTGCACTCTGACATGTCACTCAAACACAGATTTACACTGACTCCAGTCTGTTTTTCAAAGCTACATCATGAAGGCGTTGCGCTGTCTAAGTCGTCATTCTAGGAGGACGGACACTGAGCTCTGATCAGTGGCCTCCTGCTTGCTGCTGCAGCTGTGCTTCAACTGATTTTTAGTTGTTTTTCCAGTAAATCTCACAAACAGATTTTCTTTAAATTCTTTTCCACGTGGAGCCACGATGCAGACAGACACAGTCCAAACTCCCAAAACGAGGCAGAAAGTTCTGGTGTTTGGTCATTTTATAACCACCTTCATGCGATTAGACTCACTGGAAATCAGTTAAAATGTAATCTCATCATATTTCTGTTCAATAACACGATATAAGAAGCTCATTTTCCTTGTGGTAGAGAAGGCTCAAATGTTTGCTTGCCCATGAGACGCTCTTAGTTTGTCCACCTCATCTGTATCTGTGTGATCTCACCTGTGAGGACTCTGCCGTCTGCTCGAGTGACTCTGAGGAAGCAGCTTTGTTGACTGAAGAGGAGGCCTGAAAAAAAACAATGAGAACTTGGTCATTTTTCACATTGAGTATTTAAAAATGATAAACTTGTGCATCATAATGTGCATGTTTGTACCTGTGAGGCAGACTTGAAGGGGTTGACCTTCTGCATAACTCCCATCACACCTGTTCTCTGATGATCAAACAAAGCAACAGATTCATGATGAGAACTTATACAATAAACTTTGCACCTGACTGATGGACAAACTACAACTCGGCAACAAGGTGTTCCTGACTTGTGTCTCCTCTTGGTCTTTGGGTTCAGCTCTTGTTTTCCTCCAACAAATAATTAGTCAGACAACGAGGAGACTGACTCATGTGCAGCGTTTTTATAGGTTTAAACATTCACCTGTGGGGCTGCGGTTGTTCCTGCATCCTGTCGGTTCAGGCTGTGTGTGATGGGATTGTCTAGTTCCTGGAGAGAGAGGAAGGCTTCAGTTAAAGGCACTGATATAAAACCTTTCAACCACCTCCTCTTCCTCCTCTTCCTCTTACCTCCTGGCTGGGTCGAGGTGGAACCACCGGAGTCGGGGCTGCTGGGCTTTTATCTCGTCTGAATATGTTCATTCTGAAACGATTAACAATCATGGAAGAAGACGGTTTATTTAAGTAAAAATACAGTAATGTAAAAACACTCCAATACAAGTAACAGTCCTGCATGAAAACACCGACTTTAATTTGAAAACATCAAACGCCTTCTGCTCAACCAGCTCTGATTTGATTCATTAAAAAAAATAACAAAAATCAGAAGCTAGGGATATTTAAAATGTCACCTGTAAAACTTTAGATCGATATAGAAAAACTTTCCAAGATAACATTTTTTTGGAAACGTGCCCTTTGACCCACATCCAGCAGATTTTTCATGATCATGTTTCAGGAACTATTAACAATAAAAGCCTGAATATTTCCCAGCTTTTTCTCATCACGCTGTTTATTCAGGGCCTGTAATATCAGACAAGTAGAGCAGATGATCTCTGATTACGGCTGAGCTGAATGTGAACAAAAATGAAAGTCAAGTACACGTAAAGAAAAAGTAGAATGCAGAAGTGAACTACGAGTAAGATTTCCTGACAAACAAAGGCTGTGGAAATTCCCAAATAATGCAAAACACAAAACTAAATAACTCGTCTCAAAGTTAAGGTTTTATAAGTGGGGGCCAAAAAAATGAAAAATAAGCTCTTAAAAATGTAAACTCTTAGTTCTATTTTGATTTTACAACTACAGACAGCAAACGACAGGAGCATGGTGTAAGCAAATTAACAGATCTGCTGGGAGAGAGTGGTAAATTATATACATACATCCATCCATCCATCATCTATACACTGCTTTGTCCTCACTAGGGTCATGGGGGGCTGGAGTCTATCCCAGCTGACTCAGGGTGAAGGCAGGTTCACCTGGACAGGTAACCAGTCTATCACAGGGCTACACTTAGAGACAGACAACCAAGCACACTCACATTCACACCTACGGACAATTTAGAATCACCAATTAACCTCAACATGTTTTTAGACTGTGGGAGGAAGCTGGAGAACCCGGAGAGAACCCACGCTGCACGGGGAGAACACGCAGGGTCCTCACCAGGACGTGAACCTGTGACCTTCTAGCTGCGAGGCGACAGTGCTAACCACCGAGCAGCCCCTAAATCATATACAGTGTGTCACATTTCTGCTAATATCTTATTAAATCTTTTCATGTGACAACAATGAAGAAATGACACTTTGATGTAAAGTAGTCCAGCTTGTATAACAGTGTCAATAAACCATTAGTCATTAATGTCTGAACCGCTGCCAACAGAAGTGAGAACAGCCCTCAGTGGAAATGTCCAAATTGGGCCGGTGACTCGTTAGTGTCACGAGGTCTCAGGTGTGATCTGGTCTGATCGATCTCACACGCTCTCATACTGGTCACTGGACGTTTAACGTGGATCTAAAAACTCACTTCTGTGACACACTGTGTTTTTAATGGTAACCTGACTGACTGTCGTGGTAGACGTACCCTCCTGGTCATTGTGGAAACTGTTAGTTGGGATCAAAATAGATTCTCTTGCTTTGTGCTCCGTTGGGAATAAACTTGGCCTTCAAGACCAAAGTCACAGCTGGACTGAGTTCAGAAAGTGTGAGAACATGTGTATTTATAGTAACTGTCCAAGAGTTTACCTTCGAGCTTCTCTTCCAGTAAGTAGCAGGTAGAACAGACAACAGTTCACTGGGTTTCCAACAAAGCGGGGTCAAAAAACCCCCCAAAAATATTGAAAACAAACTTATTTTTTAAACATTTTGAAACACCAGAACTCCACTTGGATCAGACTATCTACTAACATTTTTCTTTCTGTGATACGACTTGTCAAACCTGCTCAGTCAGTTGCAGCAGCTTTCGCTTCGTTTTTAAGTTCGAGTATTTTGTGTTAAAAACTATTCTGAACGTTTTGTTCTATTAACGTAAAATGCAGCTACGTGTGGAATAACACTACCTGACTTCTGCATACATTTTGTTTTGTTAATGTGAGCTCATGATGGCTTCAATTTATTTTATTTTTTTAAAAATATTTCACTGTTTGATCTACTTTTCCAGTGTTACAGATTCTGACTTAGTGACACGATGAGAAATAACAGAGAAAATTTCAGGTTTTTGTCTTCAATAGTTCCTGAGATGTTGTCGTTCAAACAGCCTCAATTCAATGTGGCAAAAAAAAAAAAAAAAAAAACCTGCTGAAAGTGGGTCAAATACATCAAGTTACATCTTTGAAAACGTGTACAGATGTCCATACGTCATGCTGGAACATTTCAGGCAAATCAGAGATGGTTGAGCAGAAATTGCTCTAAAAATTTAAGTGTAATTCCAGTAAAAGCACATAAGAGTTTAAATACAAGAATCAGTGATAAACTTTTCTCTAATCTTTCGTTTTTGGTGAGATACTGGATCAGGTATTGAAATTAAACCATGTGAGAAGTTTCATTGGTAAAATCTTTTTTCCCCCCGTTAAAATCCCCTCCAGTGAAAATCAAGCGTTTGTTTTACCTTTTTAAATTCTAAATCTGAACATGTACGGCTGAATTACTCCAATTGCACAATTTGTACAGCGTTTGAGCAGCGCTCCAGGTGAGCTGGTGTGCTCCAGCTGCACATTCAAGAGGATGCAACGGTGTAAAATGGCAAGAAACACTTCTGAATAAGTCATCTTGACAAGCAGAGGTGAATTTTTATGAGTCAAATCACTGACTGAGTGCACACTGCTGTTTGTAAAATGTCAAAAGCCAAACAGAAGGAAATCACTGATTCGTTTTTTAACGTGTTGCATTTTAAAAGCTTCTTATAATAAAATCTTCATCTTACATGTGGGTAAAACTGTCAAATAAATACAGCAGAGTAGCATCAATTCCTTCTGAAACTGAGTGAAGTGGAAGAATACAGCAGCATCACATCAAAACACAAGGAAGGCTGTACCTGAAGTGGAGTACTTGAGTAAATGTACTTAGTTACTTTTAGACAAGTGGTAAAGATGAAACAAAACTAGACTCCAAATACATATAAACGGTGCCAGTCACATAATCCATGTTGTTTTAAAGCGGTTACAAGCTGCCAATGTCTTAACTTCCGCGTTTTTCTTGACAAACTTGAACACCACACTCCCTTTAAATAGTTGGCACTTTAGGTTCCTGTTTGCACGCCGCAAACTCCCTCTCTAAACTACAAAAGCTGACAGAAAAGTTCTATTTTAATGTTGTTTGGTAAACAGCCATCCCCGAATTGGAAAGTGTGTCCAACTGAGTGGTGACAAGCCATAATATTGCCTTTTGCAACGCGTATGTTAGTAAAGTGGCACCGAAATGTACAAATAGTGAAGTTTTTTAACGCAGTTTGGCACGAGCCACTCTCACAACACCGCCACGCTTAGAGCCGAACTGCTTTGTGTCCAGAGGAATGTTTGACAAAAACAGAAGCAGCAACAACAACACAATGAAAGAGCAGGCAGCTTACCTCAGCGTGAGCCACAGAAACACACCAAACAAACACACGGCGTGCAGCAGCAGCAGCAGCAGCAGCGAGTGGAGAACTTCAGCGGGTCAGACCTTCACTTCCCCTTCAGGAGAAGTTCAACTGGTTCGGCCGCAGCTCAGGAGTTGGGTTACTGGAGGGAAGAAAGCCGCGCTGCTCTGGTTTCAGGGACACTTCTGCTGGAAACGCCGAACAAAAGACAGAAACAGGGTGTCAGCGGCTCCACACCCTCGGAGCCGTGAAAAGTTGGGAGAGTTTCGCCTCATTCGCATCACCTGGGCCACCTGCTGGGGGGCGTGGCCTGTCCGCCGCGTCATCTGCCGGTTAGCATGTAGCTTGTAGCATGTGCACTGCTAACGATCAGCTGATTGAATTTCTCTTCAGGATATTACTCTGTGATTATTCATTTTATAGCCCTCAAAGTCTGTGACTGTGAAGTGATGAGAAATACTTTGAGTATTTGAATTTTATAAGAATTTATACAGGAAGTTTTGGTCAAATATTATGAAAATTCATATTTTGGAACAATTTACAGAATCTCCCACATGGATATAATTCTACATAAATAGTTCCCCTCTTACTGCAAATTACAGGGAAAAACAAACAAACAAACACAAAAACAGAACCGATATAAACCAAAGAACAAAACGAAAACCCGTTTTAACAAAATGAGACACCTTCTATTTAAAAAAAAAAAAGAGAGAAATATTTCTATATTTATTGCTATTCAATTTATTATATAATTCAAACTTTTTTTTTTATCAACTGTTGCTAACTTAAATTTATTTCCCTAAAATATTTGATTTATTTTAGATGTGCCACAGTATCATAAACACACAAAAAAGTACAAAATAAAACACAGAAAACATTTTATTTATTTATTCTATTTTTGCTATTCAGTTTTTGAAAAAAAATCTACGTCTAACTTTTTTTTTATCAACTGTTACTAACTTAAATTTATTTACTTAAAATATCTGATTTATTTTAGACGTGTCACAGTATCAAAAAACCCAGAAAATAAAACACACAAAACAAAAACAACCTAAAATGATGTCTGAAAACAAGCAGGGTTTCTGTGTATATCTTCTTTAATTGTTTTATTTATCGTTTTTAGATCATCCAGGTTGTTCTGTAAGTTTACCCAACAAACTGATAAACATCTAAACTATTTTCAGGGTCTTTAACACCTCCACTACAGAGAGATTTTTCTTCTCACATGGTTTGATTTGGGTAAATGTTCAGATGATCTAGATTCTACCTGGGTCATACATCGTCTGCACTGTGGCTCGATGTCAATTTTGAATAACTGAACCTTAAAAGAAAAAACAAAACACTTAATGGATTCAAAAACTCATTTTAAGAAAACTCCACAGAGGATTTCAAACTGCAGCAATCATGATTGGTCTTAGGTGTGCAGTAGTAACTACATTTCAGTTAACTTTGCTTGTCACAGCTCTTATTTGCTCCCATAAAACCTTCAGATGTCTTTTGTTTACCTCTGAGGAGTTTAAACTGTTGGGTAAACATAAGGACAATGCTGAGCGTGCTCAGCCTAACGTGATGTAACCGTCCACTCCCATTTCCAGCTCAGCACAAACGCATGCCGGCGGCAGCAGCAGCAGCAGCAGGGTGGGAACGTCGCCTGGAGCCTGCATTTGCAAACACATTTGCATGGAGTCTTCATTTATCGGTTCAGCGTTACATTAAAAGCTTTCAAGGACGCAGTGTGACTACAGGTGCACAGTAGCACCTTCATGTCAAATGATTCAGAAACTGTCACTGACTATTCATAAGAGGAAGCGCCCTGTTGTGGAACAATAACAATCAAAAAACCAGAAAGACTATCCTGAACACACAGCCCCCAAAGTAGAAACTCAGTGCCACAACTCAGTGTGTTTGCAAATCTAAACAGTTAGTTTTTAGTTTTATATAACAACAGATGTCCTGGCAGTAATGTGATTACTGTGAGGTCATTCAGTTGTGAGTCATGTGACTTTTAAGTGACATTGCTCATTGGTTTACTCACCTCAGCTGCATACTGCATCTGCTTTTACAAAAAAATATATTATAAAATCTTTACAGATACATTTTATTCAGGTTAAAATAATACAGGAAGAGCTGAAAGAATAAAGAGAGGAGCATATTTACACATTTACAGTGATTCACCAGCTGTGGTGCATAAAATACAGGTGGAGCAATGAAACAGATTCTGCCGACACCTAAAATACAACAAACGTGCACAAAGTGTGTCTATAAACCAAACGTGTGATTACTTTGCAGTGACATGTAGGAATTAATATACATGTAAATATTCTGCTGATAGTTGAAAATCAGCTTTACTGAAGTATTTACTGACGCAGTGAGATCCGTCCAACTGGTTCTGATCCTGGTGTTTGTCAACTCCTCGTACAGCAACAATAAAACAAACATTTAGATGCTTTTTAAATTGTTTTTTTTTTTAAAGCAAAGCCGCAAAGTGATATATGAACAATAAATTAACCTATATACAACATTTGATTGTTAATGAGGCTCTTTAAAGAAGAAAACGAAACAATCCTGAGGTGATGAAGGCAGAAAAACATATTTTACGGTATAAAGTCTCGTCTTCAACCAGGTACAGTGATTTTAATTGCACAAAATTCTAATCAACTCCCACGATGTCGGCTTTACTGTAGATCCTCATCTACTAATGTTTGATTATCTCTGACTTTATAATAAAAATTAAGACTAATGCCCTACAAAAATATTTCCTTTTGATTTGTTATGTACATTTAATGGGATTGTGTCAGTCATGAGTCCATGATCCACCCGGTGGTGAAGCCTTTAACCCAGACAACGGTACATAAAGTGCTGTGTGTTCACGTTATTTTGTCCAGCCCCTGTGTGTTCATTCAAAAGTTGCCGTCACCTCTCCGCCACAATCAGAACAAATAAATGAGCATCATTAGCTTCACAGAGGTTGAGAAACCAGATGTCACCACGACTTCACAGCAGCAGTTCCTCCATCTGGCCACAGGAGGGCGCTCATGCTCTTTAAGAACTGATAAAACGGTCCTGTTCCTGCTGGATGTGGCTCACATGCTTCCCGTTGTGTCCTGCAGCTCCTCTCTGATGGCGTTGAGCTCCACGATGCCGTCGTTGAGCACGGTGGCCACCTCCTTGATCTGACCCACCATCTCCTTCTTGCAGCCCTTCTTCAGCTCCCTGGAGTCCTTGATGAAGTACTGATCTATGCCTTTGAAGAGGCCCTGCAGCGAGGCCACGGCGCCGTCCGTGATCTCCGTCGCCCTCATCACGGGCGAGTCCACCAGGCTGACCATCTGGACCGCCCGGCGGATCTCCCAGTCCTCGGAGTAGTGCTGGGTGCCGGACCGGAGGAAAGGGTGGCCTCGCAGCTTGTACAGGCCCTGGTTGATGAAGTGGAGGATCTTCCCGATGTCCAGCAGGTGGTTCTCGTAGTCCAGCAGCACCGCCTCCACCTGAAGGAGGGTCACATTAAACAGAGTCAGTGGAGGCTGAAAGACGGGATGTGACAGGACGGCACTCTGTGGTTCTGGTGACACAGTGAAGCATCATTAGAAGATCTTTGAGATGAGTCGGGCCCACGTAGGATCAATAACTGAAGATCACATGTATGCTGCTTGGATTTCTTAGAAACCTTCAACTTTTGTTGAACTGAAGGGATTTTTTGTTTTTTTTCTTCAGATATTTAAGGTTTGCTCTGCTGACAGAACACATGCTGTGTGGATGATGGTGACATTTATGAGTCAGACTACACGTCATAAACTGCAGCTCATTTCTATCATAGCTCTAGTTGGCTGTATATTAACATTGGACTGACATAAATCTGTGAAGATGTTTCAGCCATGACAGTGTGACAGATCAGCAATTAAATCTATTCTCTTGTATTTTTATGTACTATATTTGATTATTAGTTAATGTTTTAAGTGTATTTATGTAGTTTTGAGGTTGACCAGTCTGCTCAGATGATTTAAATATTAACATTTTACAGGAGAATTCATGTCAAATGAAGCATGAACAGAAATCCCATTTCACTCAAAGCATTTTAACAGTCTACGCTGCCATAATTAAACCTACTGGAGGCAAACCGATGAGTGTTTCTGACCACAGTTTACTAATTAATCAATTGAACGTGAGTGTTTCTGTAACATTCTGCAGCTCTCTGGCTCGACTCCCTGCTGCAGCTGGTTGCTTTTGTCGGCTTTCCAGGTTAATCAGAGTTCAGCAACTCTTTCGATGTGACCAAAAACATCCTCAACATTTTCCCACTTCTTCATAGAGAGCATCATCGTCTTCTCTTTTACTTGCTGGTTTCATTCAACCTCTACCCAAAGTTTAAAAAAAAAAAAAAAAAAAAAAAACAGCTACCGAGTGTTGTCAAGATCTGCTCTAAATGATCGGGCTCCCTGTCAGAGCCCTCTGCTCCTTTTGTAAGCAACAGATCTGAAGGAAAGCCAGCAAGATCCTTCAGGACCCATCACACAGATCAAAGGAAAAAAAACAAGAAACGTTTAAGTTGCACATATAACTGATGAATGTATTTCATCTAATAAACATCTAAATGTAGACAAATGGTTGATATTTATTATGTGTCAGCTCACCTTCTTGCGGTCGTGCATGTTGTTGACGTTGTCCGAGATGGCTGCAGAGGCTGAAGTGATGCCTCCGGCTGTAGCCACACCGACGCCCACAGCTGTGATCACCAGAGAGGCGCCGAAGGTGAACGGCGCCAAAGCCAAACCGGCGATGGCCGTCACGCCGCCCACGGCGGTGGTGGTGCCGCCGGTGATGCCGGCAATCTTGGCTTTGTGGTGGAAGTCGCTGATGTCGTCGGCGATGGCGTGGAGCATGATGATGGACTGCCAGAGGACCTCCGCTCGCTCTGTGAACACCTTGTTGAAGACGCGCAGGCCGCGGTGAACCTTGTCCGCCAAGATGGTGAAAGACCTGGGATTGTACAGGAGGCAGCACATTAAAGACTTAGTCTGGATGCTAAAGGTCTACCAGTGGAATAAAGCAGCACACTGAGTTTACTCTAACAAGACTAGTTTCAGGAGGCTGCATAGTCTTATCTTATAAAGTAAGCAATAAAAAGTATTTCATGATAAGTTTGAAGCTTTTTGCAGCATCTAGTATTGAGGCAGGTTTTCTTTGAGAACAGTTTTGATGCAGACAGAACAGATTACTAAAAGAAATGAGTCTTTATTGTCGTTCTCCAACTCTAACATCATGCTCTCCATGAACACGGCTATCTCTGCAAGTACCAATAAATCTACAACTTGATTCAAGCCCCAGAAAGTTCCAGGACTGATTCTTCAGCTTTGTTACCTGTGAGACCCTGAAAGTCTGAATCTGTGTTTCTGAGGCAGTCACCTGTACGCTGCAGTATTAAAGGGGAAACAGTCAGCCGTGGTGTTGCTTATTTTACCCCTGATACGTCCTCTGGCATCTGAAAATAACGCTGGCTGTGTCTGAACCCATTACCTACTTCCTCCTCGTAGGGAGCTCCTCGACTAAAGTACCACACTGTGTCTAAACACTATAAAGCATCATCACTGCTTTTCACCTAAATCGGATCAATTTGCAGGAAACTGTTATGTATCCTCACTTGTCCAGTCTTAGGCGTTCTTTACACGTAGCAAAAACGGTGATATTTTAACGTGTTTGGGTCTTTGGTTTACATGTAAACGAAGCTACAAGTCACCAAAAACCATCAAATCTGAAAACTCTGTCCACAGCGGAGGTTTGGAAAAACTCCGTCTTTGCATGTAGACAGGAGGAGACGTCACAGTATGTGACAAAAGCGTCATCAGCATCATATGTGTGCGGCCATGTTTACAGTTTGGCTGCTGTGATAGACGTGGATGCTGTTAAAGCAGAGCTTGTCTTTACATTTGTGCTTTTGGCCTGTTTGCTTTTACATTCAGAAATGTTTTATTATGTGGAGGAGCAGAGGAGAAGGATCGGTCCAAACAAATGATTCTGGCGCCACTGTCGTTGAAGAAACAGGAAGTACTTTGTGCCATTCCTTGTGTTTCTTCCAGGATTCTGATTGGCTAGCATGGCTTTATGTTACACTGCCCCCTACAGGTCTGGCAGCTCATCGCGACGTGTTTATGCAGGTTTGTGTAAACAAAGATTTTTTTGAGACCGATCTGGTGAGAACAATGTTATTTTTGAAAGAGCTGTTTCTGTAAATACCCGGCTACGTGTGAATGTGGCCTCAGAATAACGCTGCTGAACTCGTTCATTGTGCAGCTACCTTTTTCTCACAACAATCACTAGTGTCACTGAGAACAATAGCAGACATACTTTGACTCATCCTCTTTTATATCCTCGTCGTCTGACGGCAGCTCATCCCATTCTGCAACACAAACAAGCAACAGGTTTTAATGAGGCTCTGAGAACGCATCCAGCTGTTTATTTTTGTTGCTTGGTTTCCGTCCGACTGTGACTCACGCTCCACCGTGTACCACCACTCCATCAAACTGTCGGTGTCCTGTGGAAAGAAAATGCAGAGACGGTTCACACTGGAAAAGCCAAACGTGTTAATTAAAATGTGGTGATTATTTCTGAGTAACCAGGAACTGACCCCGTCCTCATCATCATCCTCCATTCCTGCCATGGCGCGCTCGTCCATCTGAGCAGCCAGCCACTCGGCCTGAACGCCACCAAAACAAACATGTAAATACGTCAAGAAGCCTTGTGACATGTGTCGCTATATTCACGCAGGCTAGTCGTCGTAACGCAGCATTAGTTCGGGCCTTTGTACACATCGAGTCTTTTGTAGGTTGAAGGCGCAATGCAGCAGAACCAGTCTGGTCACATGTCAGAGGAATGTGTTCCACAGAGATAACCAAGCTAGCAGCGGAAAACAACAACATTTCATAATAGTTTCTCAATCGCCAGCTAAAATGAACAAAGTGTGCCTTGTTTAAATAACGCCAGAAGCTCTAACATGCACAGAAATCCCGTTTAATCCTGCTTCATAGTCACTCTAAGCTTCTGTCAGCGTAATACAGTCATGATTTAGTAAATAAAAGCTTAGCATCAAGTCATTAGGGTTGTACTCATGTCGGGCATGTACATATGAAACATCTGAATTTCTATCCACGCGTCTCATCAAAGATTCTGCATAACGCTCGTCAGGCGTGAGTCAGCAGTAAATTTCTAAAAATAATGCTGTTAAAATCAAGTCCATCATGTCTGACTGCATGTTGGTACGCCGCAAACAGTCACATGACGGTTAAAAGGAGGAACCGAAGCTGTGGTTCACACAAATATCAAAACTGAGTCACTCGTTCGGAAGTTTATCTAAGGATTGAAGAGACGGCATTTTGATCGAAATCACCGTCTGAAGAATCCGACGGCCAAAGCAACCGCCGTGACTGATCATTTAAATATCACACGGAGGATGTTGTGGACGTACTTGAGCAGCCTCTGACAGATAATCACCAGACGTAGCTCCGGGTGGATCTTCACACTCCAGCTGCATGGCTTTGCTCTGACGGGAGACAGAAAGACAATAAGAAGTGAGCTCGTCGTTCTCTTGTAGGTGAAAATCTGACAGCAAGAAGCGCACAGACTCACTTTAGCCTTTTGTTTTTTGAAGCCTTTAAGTTTTGACGTCTTCTTCTATTGAAAAGAAAAAACATTTTAGAAGCACATACAGAATAACTCCAGAGGAAAGTGAACAAGGGTGAAGTGAATACCGGTTTGCAGGAGTCCAGCTCGTCTTCTTCGCTGTCATACATCTCTCCAGGACTCATGAAGTCTTTTCCTGTCGTTGCCTCGTCAGCAAACAAATCCTGCCAAAGCATGAAACAGACGTTAAAATCACAGGAAACAACTGAACAACACATTATGTGTTATGTTGAACGTACACTTGAGGCCTGCTGAGGGACGCCGTAGCCGAGTCCAGGAGCTTCACTCGGCCCATCGGTCGTCCTCGGTTTGCGTGGGACAGGAAGAGGAGCTTTGTGTTTGAACTTCTTCTAACAGAGAAAAACAGAATCCACTGAACGTTACGTGCATAACGACCCTTTACTAGCAGGTGGAAAAAACACACAAAAGCATCAAGGTGGAAGCTAAAGTTCTTCACTTCCGTCCTTTCGATGCTCTCTTTTCATTCTCAGGTGTGGAGTGAAGAGTTTGAACTTCTCACAGTTCAACATCTGCTGCTGAATCAGACATTTGGCACAATTCAGCAGCAAAAGCACTTCAGGACAATTTTCTGTGCTGTTGCTAAGTTACTCTGTCAGAATGATCAGTGCCCAGATTGCTCTTTGTACTGCAGCACACAGTGTTTCTACAAAGCAGTCACACTGTGCTGCTGCTGATTGCTCGTTACTGGATCACTGTTACAAAAGACTGACGAATACCGGTTTGCAGTCCTCCATCGTGTTGAGCTCTTCGTTGTCCAACTCGTCTGCGGAGAAGCTGCTCTTCTTCTTCTGGGGACTGGCGTCGTCCAGCATGCTCTCCTAATTATAGACAGACATGAGAAATCCAAATGACCTAAAGCAGCGTCTTCATCTCTCACATGAACAACTTTAAAGCAGAAATAAAGATGTTTACAGTCTGATGTAAACACTGTTTTGGTCTCTTTAGCTAATTTGAACCTTCACATCAACTGTACAGGAGACTAACTTTTACAGAACTCATACATTTAATTTTGTATTGAAGTTTTGCATAATTAAGTAAACGGCAGCTTCAAGTGACAACTGCTGCAGTTTTGCTGTTGACATACAGTCGTCCTCAGATGTATTCATCTCCTTCTATTAAAGAAAAGGCAAAACTCACAACAGTCACTCAAATAACTAGAAACTAAAAAAGTAGTAATAAATAAAAATTTGATAAATTATAATTTAGTGAAATAAGACATTTGCTTTTGAATTGTGGTTGAAAAGAATAATTTAAAAAAAAAACAAAAACAAAAACAAAACTGTCCTGGACACATTAGAGCAGTTTGCTGATGAGCAGTGAAATCAGAATACGTGTCAACAGGTGCAGGAGTTTTTTTTTTTTTTTTATATATATATTTCTGTTGAACCACAATTCAAAAGCAATGTCATGATTTTCTTTATTTTTATTTTTTTAAATTTCTTATTACTTTTGTCAATTTAAACTTATTCCAGTGACTGAAGCTGGTTCTGTCCTTCTTTAATGGGAGGCTATGAATCCATTCGACAGTGTCTCATGAAATTCAGGCTCAAAGTTGATTAAAGACAAAACTATGCTGAGCAAAACCGAGATTTTGTCTTTAGATTGCGACACCAAAAGTGAATATCAAATGGATTTGGTTGTTTTCAACAGATTTCAAATGTGTTTTTCATCCCAGAAAATCTCTGTCTGTCTCCTGTACTTAACATAATTGCTCAAAAATGCTGGAAAAATGAAAAAGCGCAAAGGTTCAACCCATACCTTGTAAAACAGTCATAGTATAAAGGAAGGTAGGTTTGCAAGGCTGTTATTTCATAAAGCAAAAAATCTGTGCATTCATGTGAGAAGCACTGATGGGGTTTTAATGGAATGACCCAAAAATAAGTGGCGAAAACATCAAACTCTCTAAGAATCGTCTTCCACCAGCTTCACCCAGGCATAAGTAGCTTCCCAGTCTTTGCTGCACTTAGTTTTCTTTGTGGTAGTTTCCATGATCCTCCCCCTAAATGCTTTCAGGCCATGATTTAGTGGTGACTTGCAATAGCGAAGCGAAGGCAGCATATACGTGACACTTTGACCTGCAACTGAACCACTTGTGCTCTGTTTGATTGACGTTAAACACAGGCTCATGACAACAGCCTTCCTTTACAGCCACTGGATATGAGCCAGATTTATAAAAGCGTCTGTAGTGGAGCGCTGACTTTTAAAAACTACAGTCAATCAAAACGCAGGACATTTACTCAAAAGATAGAAACGCTGTCATCGTTTACCTTTGAACTCCGGTGAACTAAATGCGGCAGTTTCTTCTTGGCTGGTTTCTTCTATCGATGAAAGACAAAAATCCCATCAATTAAAAGACTTAACTAAATGTTTAAATAAAAACTGTTGAAGTAAAAGACAGTTACAGGTTTGCAGTCTTGCATCCCATAAGCGTCTTCATCTCCGTTTAGTCCAGGAGAAAAACGGTGCGTCCTCTGGAGGTGCTCATCATCCATGAAGGCAGCCTGAGGATCGTATTTAGAACAAGACTTATTGTTAGCAGGCCAATCACTAATATCAATTTCACAATTTAAAAAGATACTGAACCGTGTATTTTTGTATTGTCAGTGGTAACTAAAAGGAAAATTACTTTGCTGGTGGACTGGAGACTTTGGCCTTTCATCTCCTCTATGTGCTCCAAATCCTAAAAACAATCACAATAACTTTCAGGTAGGAAACAATGCTTTAGAATGACAGCACCTTCAAGCAGTGGTTCTCAAACTGGGGGTCAGGACCCCCATGGGGGTCCCAAGATAATTTCAGGGAGTCGCCAGATCATTATAAAAAAAATAGATAAATAAATAAAGCCTACATTTATCAAATAAATGTGTATTAGGGCTGTCAAAATTAAAAGTTTATCCTTTTTTTAAAAAAAATTCTAATTAGGGGTCACAAACACAAACTTATGTGATCTTGGGGGTCATGGCTGAAAAAGTTTGAGAACCACTGACTTAAAGGATGCAGTCAATTCAAGGTTTTTGCAGGATTTTGATGTACAAAATAGTTGCTTAATGCTGTAATTGCAGCCAAAGGTGCATCCACTAAATAAAACTTAGGCAACCACTAACTTTACTTGCTATATTTTTAATTAATTGACACTACTTAAATTCTTGTTAAAAAAAGACAACATTTGTAGACCATGATTGAATATTAAAAAACAATGAAAAGCTTTCAAGTGGGGTGACTACGTTGTTACGGCGCTGCATCTTTAATTAAGAGTCCCTTCACCCTTTTATTGTGGAATGGAGGAAATAAAAAAAGTCATTGTTTTCGAGCTGCAGTTCGTTGTTGCTCAAACCCGAATGAAACTGAAGCCAACCTGTGACTTCTCACGAGGCGAGTAACCGTGTGCGCCAAAAACTTCATCAGGTGATTTCTCCTGAAGGGGAAAAAAAATTCCAAAAATTCAATCCACACATACCGCAAACACGTTGCACAAGCAAATGACCCACATACTGCACAAACCGACACCACTCAGTTCCCACAGTCGTACCTTTGAGGCTTTGCGAGGCGAATATCCGTGTGCTCCTTTTGGCTCGTCATTCGTCTGGAGAGGAACAGTGTTTAAAGTGATCCACATACATTAATATGTTCATTTACAAAGCAGAGAAATGGAAAAAGGGCCTTCGATACCTTTTCAACAGAGATGGCAAATCCTCTGCGTGACACAAACTTGATTTTCATCTTCTTTTTAGTCTTCTGCAGAGAAAAAATGTGATTGTCCAAATGAATGCATGGCAGAGTATTCACAGGTTTGATTTTAAATGTTTAGAAATGTGGCTTTAAGTTGTTTGCTTGGTTATTTAAAGAGCCCACGTTATGCTTTTTGGGGGTTTTCCTGTCTTAGGTCATATAGCTTTTTTGTGCATAGAAAAATATGCAAACATATTCCCTGAGACCCTCAAAATAAAATTCAGAATCTGTAAACATGCATAGCTCGGGCTCTTTAACGTCTGCACATCAACAATCTGCGAGTGTGGACCTCTTCGTGCTGGCCTTCCCCTCCTGCCTCCTCCTCACCAGTGCTGTCATCCAACGCTGTGCCCTGAAAAACAGACCGTTTAAGCAGACTGACATTTCCTTATAACTTCCTCCCGAGGCTGGGAGTGATTGAGAGAGAGCACAAGATTCTATTAATTATTTCCAAGCACTTGATAGAACATGATTAATTGATGTGTGTGCTTTGGGCATTTTCAATCTTTGGAGCTTGAAATGAAAGTTCAAAAAGAACGAGAGTGCTTTAAAGCATTTTTCACATTCTCTTGTTGGCAGTAAACACTTCAGGATCAGCTGACCTCCTTTCAGATTTAATCTTTAGCACAGATTGCAGACGGCAGGCATTTTACCTCTGACCATCGGCGGATGGAGTGTTTCTTGCCGCTGCTTTTCTTATTGATGTCACCATCCTGTGACAGAGAGGAAGTCGTCAGTGCTGTTGTGTTGATGAATAATGCCAGTTTGCATGGCAAACAGATTAAGACAAGCTCTTCCTGCAGAACCACACACTGCTACTCACACGACCCACCTTGGATTCATGAGGCGAATGTCCGTTCACATGTTTCCCCTCGAACACAGTGGAAGCAGTCGATGCTCTTCGAAGCAGCTGATTGACTTTGGTCTTCAGCTGTTTTTTCTGGTGACAAAGATGAAACAGATTTACTGACTCTGCTCATAAATAGAGAAGTAGGACTGCTTTAAATAAAATAAACATACTTTGTAGTCCAATGAATGCCGCTCTTCGTCCTCATTCTCTCCTCCAGACACGTGCACGTCTGAAAAGTAGTCCTGAAAAACAGAAGCGCTCTCTATTAAACTGATCAGATGTCGTGGAATACACACAGTTCTTCTGGTACTAAACAGTTCTAGAAAAACCATGATTTTGAGTTTATCTTTCACCCCATAAAGAAATTAAAACTGGTGGGGATAGGGCTTTAAGCTTTGAGTGTCCCACTGAAGACAGATTCTTTTTAACACCACTTAAAGTTGCTTTTTGTTTTAGTTTTTCCTGATGCTTCTTCTGTTCGTTTGCCATCACACAATCGCTGACACATGTCGTGTTAAGTCTAGATTTAATTACATGTTTATACAGTTTAGATTTCGTTCCGGACATCCTGACTGTTACCTTGGATGATTTACGTGGGATGGGCAGCGTCCTGCTCCTCCCCTCCTTTGTGTCATCAGGAAACTTGTCCTAAAAGAAATCATCACATTACAATGAACAGACATGCAAACGTAAACGTCGCACAGAGGAAGTTGTTCCTTCATTTACCTTCGAGCCTCTCCTGGAGAGCAGAGACATTCTGAATTTCTTGTCTTTTTTCTGCAATGAACATGTAAACAGGAGGTGAAGCTACATGCAAGAAAATATTTCAATGTTTAACCACGAAAGATGAACAAATAATACCTTATTGCTGCCATCCTGGTCTTCACCACTCCCTCCATCAGAATCAGCCTTTATCTAAAAGAAAACCTTGGAATTAAAGCTCCTTTTTTTCCCTTAAAAATGAATAATGCTCATTAAAACAACAAACTGTCTCTGACCTTCAGTGACTCCCTTCGTAGCCTGAATTTCCCAGACTTGGGGACAAAAGAAAGAAAAACAGTTTATGAGCTGAAACGTCTAAGGCAGAATGGTCATTTTGCATTCAAGGAGAACACAGAGTTTAAGGTAGTATGTGGGCTTAATTGGAAATATTTCCTTACTGGTTTGAAGTCAGGGTTAAGCTCAGGACTGTCCTCGGGCCAGTCTTCCACACAGCGTTCCTGTTTGAAGATTTTAATAAAACAAATCACAACAGAGGCAGCTTGTCTGTGAAGATTCTCAGTCGTCCAGGTCATGGTTATTCTCAGGGGAGGAGCAACAAACCCCCAATTGAAGCTGAAACTCGGGTGTTAATGGTTCCTTAAGGATATAAGTATCTGGATCTCCCAACTAGTCAGTCAGAGCTGATGAAGTCTCTTGGATGAGAGGTGGAACGTCTTCAAGGAACTCAAGCAAGTCCAGTTGCTACGATTAGAATAATAGAGGCAGCCGTACTTTTTCTTATAATTCTCATAATCTATCAAATAAAACATACATGAGGTGCAGCTAATAAACAACAAGGCCGGCCTTACTTAAGTTGAATTAAAGCATGGATGCACGAACCACATGGTTCAAGCATAAACAACTCCTGAAACTTAAACTGAACATAATGGAATTCCAGCATTAGTCTTGGTAATAAAGAGCCAAACTAGCAGCAGAACTTATGAGGGATGTTTGTGTTCAGTTTAACAGTTTGTCCATGCATCCAAGTAACGTGCTGTTTTTCCTCCAGTGCTACCATCACTACCTCTTGTATAACAAATACGTCAAAAATTAACGACCACTGAATTTACGGAGCACATTTATACCCCCGAGGACGACTTGTTTCCACTTTGGACGCTCTCTCTTGGTCACATGACATCCGCGGGTCAATATGTCAATTATGCATGCAGAATATCTCATTAGCCAATAACCTGCCATTTTATTTTATGAGCACATTAATGCGCATAATGGAAATAAGACGTTCTTATTTAATTGCATTGGTAATGGTGAGTCAGCCCATAATAAAACTGTTTTATGTAAAGCTAATTGTGTCCATAATACTGGGTGTGATTAACCTCAACTGTGATTGATTTGTCATAAAATATGCTTGAAATTGTCATTAGTGAAACAAACCTGTCCAATCAGCAGGATGTCCTCGAAGACCACGTAGTGCTCAGGGTCCACTGGTTTCATTTCCTGTAAAAAAATAAATAAATAAAAGAATTACAGGTCCAGCATGCACGCAGAAAAATTATCCCCGACATGCTGCACAAGCTAATTAGGGCAGCCACTGCTTTAAACACTGTGCATACCGGAGGTTTTGGTTTACGCCTAATAACTGGTTTCTGCAGAGGCCTGAAGACGGGTTTAGGAGGCGTCTTCAGCACACTGGGTTCGGGTTCGATCTAAACTCAGCCCAGCAAAGACAAAGAAAGCACAGTCAATGCAGCAGAAAGCATATCAGTGAATGAAACAAGCAGGAAAGTTGTGAACATGTTCAGCTGAGTTTTTGTGGCCTACAGGGATCACTGGCTGTGGCGGCCTTTCAGGTTTTGGTGGTTTTTCTGGCCTGGGTGGTCTAGTTCGAGGAAGTGGCCTCGGCGGTCGCTTGAAAGTGTGCACCTGCAAGTTTGATTATGAAAGAAGGCATTGAAGTGCAAGTCACACAAATGAAAATTAAAGATTTCTTGAAGAGATGCATCCGACAAGAATGCACACTCGCTACATACATGATTCATTTCAGGTGGAGACTGGCCGGGCGACACAGACACGTCGCCGGCCTGACTGAAGGGAGTCGCCTGAAGAATCTCCTGTTTGGTTCCCTGAGGGGTCGTCAACACAATCTCCTGCGGCTTGTGGAAAGGTTTTGGTGGGACGGGTGGAGGAGGTCGTGGAGGCGTTTTCTTGAATAAATCTGGTGACGACAGTGCATCCAGCTTCACATCTGACGGACTGTTGAGTGAAGATGTATTGTTGGGGGTTGTCTTGAACATATCCTCACTGTTGGTCTTTGGTGGAAGTGGTAGAAAGATATCTGGAGTCCCGCTTGAAACCTCCAGGAAAGGGTCAAACTGTTTAGCGGGAGTGGTACCATCCAAACTGGAGAGATCTTGGAACAAATTCTTCGTCACAGGGCTTGGGAATGGCTCGGCTGTGTTTGTGGATGAGGATGAAAGATCCAAGTTTTCCTTTAAAAACCTGCCGAAAATGTCCTTCTCTGTAGTCGAGGTATCCGGTTTGTTTTCCTGGAAGAGTTCGGCACCTTTAGATGGAACTGCTTCAAAAAAATCTGCTTCTTTGTTTGTGGAAGTGTAAAATGGGTTTGCCGCGGTAGGCTGAGGAGACCGAAACAGGTCATCCTCCTTGTTTAAAGGAGATCCGAATGGATCCACAAGATTATTGGTGGATTCATCAAAGATGTCCTTTGCAGATGCAGTTTGGAGTAAATCCTCTCCTTTAGCAGCCTGGAAAAGCTCCTCCACTTCACCTTTCAGGAGGTCAGAGTTTCTGGACTGCAATGTTTTGGAGAAGTTCTGTGACTCAGTTGTCTTAAATAAGTCTGGTGAGGTCAGCGTTACGTCATGAAAATGACCATTGGCAGCTGTGTTCTGACCAAGTGTTGATGTTTGAAAGAGGTCTTGCTTGAGGTTGTGGGTCCGGTAAAGGTGGTCCTGAGGTTCAGATACCGTGGCTCCATTTTCCTGAGGTGATCCCTGAAATTCAGGCGGAGGGACGAAGATCGCATCGAGGTTTACTTCTCCTGAAGTTTTGCCTCCTGCGTCATCCGTTACAGGACTTTGGCTGCCTGATTCCTGATGGCAGAACACAAGGTCAGTGGGCATGTGTTCAATAAAACACAGAAAACCAGAAGCCTGCATGCTGTACGTACCAGGTAATATGCATAGAAAGGGTTCGTTCTGGCCAAACCACCGTTGCTTCCATTCTGAAAAACAAAGAAAGCTCAATGAGACAATGAGTCTCTAAACTGTGTTGAGTCAGCTTTTAAAATCATACCCGAAGGCTGAAATTGAGCTGTTCCTGTACTCCATTCTGAAAGGATTAGACAGTGACAGCATAAATGTTAGCTGTTGAATGAATGCCAGGGCACACAGAGAACAAAGAGAAAGAACAGAAAATAATCAATTACGCAAGTTTTTCATAATAACATGGTAAATATGGAATACAGAAGTATGGATGCTGCAAAACAGTATGAACATTATTTCACTTTATATTTATCTGAACCGTGAAAGAGCACAAACTAAAACCTGTCTGTCTAACAGAACCACCTGGATGGTTTCTAAAAGTGTGAAGATAAAAAATAATCAATGAAATAAAACTGGGGGAAAAAAATTCTCAATTCTTATCATTTTGATTCAGGCTAAAACCTCGTAGGGGATGCTAAAAATTCCTCTAAAAAACCCTGCAAAGCCGTGAGCTCTTGTTGATTTCAGCTTCAACACTCGCACACGGTTTTGTGCTTCGTCACCCTAATACGCCGGCAGTAATTTGACTTATTAAAAGAAAGGATCAGCCCAACAATGTTGAACACAAACACGCCTACACATTGCGACGATAACAGTCGGTGCGATTACGCTGCAGATCAAAGAACAAAACAAGACAGAGGGTGTGGATTTAACTTGTGTCGCAGCAGGAACAAGATGATTATCCACCGTCTGCAGAGCTGTTTGAAACTTTCTCCCACACTTCTAAAGCATCCATTTCACCTGGTAAAGCTGGATATGTCAGCCACGTTGTGTCTTTTCTGTTCTTACCTGTCCAAAGGGCTGCTTATCTGTCACATCTGGAGCAGCAGCTGCCTGCTCGCCATCCTGCGGACCAAAAGCCAAACATAAAACATATTTCTGGACTGAAGCGTGGGAAGCTGCATGTCTTGCTGGTGGAATCTGAGCGACATGTCACAGGACACTTGGCAGAAATGTAAACACACTAGGGGCATTTCTACATGTGTTGAATTCACAACAAATTCAGATTTTTGCTCTTTGTATAAAAAACAAAGACAACATAGCAGGAAGTGTCTCAAAAGTAAAGTACTGCTATTCAACAATGTGCAGTTCTGTGTGCAATGCTGAACACTGTTATCAATGGATTCCGACCTGACGGATTAACTGTCTAAGAAGTAAATTATAATGTCAGAAGGACCTTGTTCACTTTTCATTCTCAAGTTGGAAAAGAGGGTCAAGATTGTAGGAAGTGTACGCTAATTTATAGTGTATTATTTCGTCGTTTCACCTGCATCTTGGCCCACTTAGCACCTTATAATAAATCACTGGTAGAAAACAAACAAACAAAACAACAACCTGGGGGTAATATTGGGCAATGCATTAAAACTGGACCATCAGATTGTTAAGGCCAGTTCTTTTCCAGCTCTATTAAATCTTTTCTGTGAACAACGTGCAGGTAGTCATGCATGCTTTTATAATATCTAAACTGGACCAACGCAATTCGCTCTACAAAGGTCTTGGTACGTCATCTACCTCACGTTTGCAACTGGCCGCAGTTCAACTTCATGAGACCAGTTCACTCCTGTTTTTAGCCCCACTTCACTGATCATCTCTTTGCTTTAGAACAGATTTTATAAGGCTTCAAACAGGCTGGCTCCTACATAGCTTACATTTTCAAGTCCCAGACAGACCACTGAGCAGGTGGTTCCAAAAACCAGGTTGAAAACACCTCAAACTGACCCAACACTGGCCACTTTAATATCCTTGCAAAAGACTTATGATTATATATTTTATCGTATATCGCCTGATTTAATAAATCTCATGAAAGAACTTGACAGTTTGTCATTTTCGCACTGTTTGTGTCAACTCACCTTGTGCTGGTTGTGGAAAGGGCTCTGGGAAACCTTTTTAAGCATATTTTGTAGCGTGACAACACTCTGCAAAGATAAGACAGAAAATCATGAACTGTTGTTCTCTTCTTCGTAGGCTTAATTTCTAATGACATACGACACATCGTGCTTCATTCACAAGTTAAACACGGTGACTAGAAATGGATAGAAAGATGCCAAATACCAAATACATCAACGAGATTCTGGATAAAATCTGTGTTGGGTCAAAACTTTGATCCTGAAAGAGGTTCTTTTTCATTGTGATGCTGCAAATTGAATTAGGCATAAACTATGTTTATTGCATACAGCTGCAGTAAATCATATATTTTTTTGTTTCTTTAATTACTCTCATCTCCAACAGTGGAGTTTTCCTGAACATAATTAGACTTATCGATGAGGAAGCTTTTTAGTGCCAGAGATTTGCAACCGCCATCGCTCTCTTAATTATAACTGCTGTTTATATATTTAAAAAAAAAAGAAATCATGGCTGGAATATAATGTTTAGTTGTTTTAAATTCTTATTTGATTCCTGGTAATCATCTACTGACCCACCAGCGGGACCCGACCCTCACTTTGGGAACCACTGTTGACTGTATTCATCCAAAGGCTGCTCATAGTCAAAACACACGTTTAAACTACATTACACCAAGTAGTTGTATCACATACATGTAAACATGAACACCAAAAAGGAGAATGAGTCCTTTTAATCATTTTACTTTTAAATAAATCTGTGAATTTCCTTGGTGACGGGGCAGATGAAGCCGGACTGCGGTGACGACAGCAGGTTCTTTATGTTGTGTGAAAAGCTATCAGTCACTGACAGCGACAAGGCATTCAGAACAGCTGACATCACGGTAAATACTCTGGGTTTGGCGATCCTGTCTGGTTGTCTTGACAAAAAACACAAGTGATGCCAACAGCAGAGAGAAACAGACCCTCCCACCTGAAACCAATGAGCTGTTTACTTGTCTGAGGACAAAGTGTCACCTACCATCACATTTAAACGCAGGATGGAACATAGGATATTTTCTTGCAGGCATGTTTTAAAAATCCTTCCTAACATAAAAAAAAGTGAAAACTATGAAGCTACAACATGTGTTCCAGCACAGAGCCGATCTTAAAGCACTCACAGGTCGTCTTTCTCCAGATGCAGTATCTGCTGGTGCCTTGATGTGTCCATGTTCGTCCTCCTCCACACCAGCCTCCTAACAAACATGAATGTTAAAAGAAAAGAGTTAAAAAACACCAAAAACTGCTTCAGAACTCTGACCCAGCTAGTTTCAGTCACACACTTGTCATTCAGGGTTTAAACACGACTTACCGCAGCTGCATCTCCTCTCATGGTGAACTTAAAACTAAATCTTTGAGTCAGATCAGAGTATTTTCCCACCGGTGAGTTTTAAGCAGCAGATGTTAAAGTTTCTCGTGCATTTAAGCTCATCAGTGTGTGCTCAGGATACAGGACACACGTTTGCAATCATCTCCCAGTTTGACACACCTGTGTCAAGTCAGACAGGTGAGTGCCTGCACATCAGGGCTCAGAGCCTTCAAAATAAAACGCATCTTTGTACATGTTCTGTCCTGGTCTTTCCACCTTACATGTAAGTGTCGGGACAAAATCTGCACATGCTGCTAACACTCTGCATATGGCTTAACAGGAGTAAAAAAATCTACATTACAATTAGAAAAGCCAAGAAATAAAGCAAGAAAAACACAGATTTCTATCACCTGGTAGATCTTAAAATGTCTCAACTTGAGCAAAACGTCTTGTTTATCCCAATAGTAATAATGCTAAACGTAAAAATAAGCTAATGTTTGCTCAGTCTTTTTGAGTTATGACAACTTCTATTGAATTTACGTTCAAACTACAAAACATTTAGGGAATTAGCTTTTCCTTGTCACTTATGATTGGTAGCATAAACACACGTTTCAAAGTTGAAGTTCTTTTAGGTGTTGTGTATTTAATTACCACAATTCTGAACATAATTGAAAAAAATAAAGGTAGAAAAATGTAATTATCAATCCAGTTTCATTAAGTGACCCATGAAAACAATGTTTGCTACTGAAAAGCTTTATCTAAAGCTTTATCTAAAGCTTTAGCTAAAGGAATCAAAATTAAGAGTCGTAACAGATGGAGACATTTAACAAACACAGTCAGCGGCTGCAAAAGCAAACACCTCATCGCTCACAAACACAAACTGCAATCTGTCATAAACACACAGAATGTATCTCGTGCACTTTTGTTGGGATGCTGTGACTCATGAATGCAGCAGAAAAAATAAGAGAAAATGTCGATGCAAAATTAAAACCTCATCATTTGGGTTCAACAACAGGGCGGTGCACAAATGATGGCAAACTTATTAACAATAGCAGCACAACTAAACCTACAGTACGGATGGAGTTTAAAGCTTGAAGGTCAATTTGTCAGAAGGTTCTTTTGTGTTTGTTTTGGAAAATGTTTCTTATTTCATCTCCATACATTTACTAGGAATCCAAATATCTGAGACTAGTGCAAGGATTCAATTCAGCAGCTAATATGTCAATGAGAAGTCATGGCCTAATAAAGTTTAAACTGATGTTTGACTGATTTTAGTGTGAATGTTTTGCTCAGTCACAATCAAAATGATGCTTCTGAATTTGTGCAACCCGATACGCTTCTGCTCAATTTATTCTGAAGGCGAGTGTGCGTGACTTTTGGTCGGTTTCTGGTTGCACCAGCTTAACGCTTCTCGTCACCTTTCCCCCGATCTCAATGCGAACCGACCGGTTGTCCCCTCCCAGCCCAACCGGGCGGAGTGGTCCAGGTGTGTTGATGTGCTGCAGCTCGGTGCTGACAGATGAGGAAACTCTGCAGATTATACTGATCACTGACACACAATTCCAACACACAAAAGCTTGTTAAACAACATGAAGGGATTGTCATGATCCAACTGTAGTGATGCATTCCTAAATCAGATTCATAACTTCCATGAACAAGAGAAACCTACAAATCCAGCAAACAGGAAAAACTTTCCGCTCAGTTTCTTTGAGATCAGCAGCTGCCTGGACAGTCAGTGAGATAATGTGAAGATTCATTGACGGTGACTGCAGAGGATTTATGGTTAGACCTGTGTGCACTCTAAAAAAAAAAATTCTGTTTGGGCTCAACAACAAAAAATTACAGCAACAGGTTGCATCACTCTTTTTGAGTTATGGCACTTTCTAATGTAATCATGTTCAACCTACAAACTGCATAGAGTTTGTCGAATTAACTTCTCTTCTGTAATCAAAGGTATGTTTCATTAACTTGTCTTAACTGTCTGAGATTATCCAGGTATGTTGAATACAGAGGAGGGGACTTGAAATCATGACATCAGCATGAAAACAGATTAAGTTATCAAGCCAAATTCAAGTTAGTTCAACTAATCTGAGATTAAATTACACACAATGTTACGTTTATGCAACATTATTATGTGAAACTGACCCATCAAAACTGTATTTGCAATGTTTTTTTATGATGTAACCATGTATTGAATTAAGTGGTGGGAACAGGTCTCTTAAATGACTTTCTCGAGTGCATAATTAATTCCCATGCATCATTTGCATGTCAATGTATTGCAGGCTGTCTTCATATGTTGTTCACATCTACTGACTTCAGCACAGACCGTGTTGTGACCTTATTAGTCCAGCAGATGTCAGCAGCTCTTCATCGGATGTAAATTTGGATTCTGTTAGAAACATTGTACGAGACTCAGTCAAACGTATCTGGATGTCTGCACGTTTCACCTCTCATCTAAGAGGCTTCTTCAGTCCTGAAAAAGTCTCCTGGATGACTGACTGGTGTCGTTGGAACCAGTGCTGTGCATTTTACCCCCAGGCCTTCAGTGGCGTCCTGCCTGATTCAAACCACCTCTTAACACCGTCATTATGACGCCACGGTGATAGAAACCATCAGTATTATGCAGAAAGGCAGCATAGCAGGACGTTGCATCGCAGACAGGTATCAGGAGCGTCAATATCAACACAATAAAATGACAACAAGATATATTGTAGTCACTAAAACCTGTGATTATTTGAACACAAACTCCATCCTCCTTTCTCTCACCATAAACAGTTCAGTCACTCTGTTGAGCAGCTAATCCGTGTTTCACTTCCAACAATAAGTCCTGTTTTATCTCCATGGAGGTTAATGCTGAAGTCGGGTCTGTCCAGTCCTGTTTCTGCCATAAGTTTTAATTCGCTGTAGGGCTGAGAATGTCCGCCTACTTAACTGAAAAAAAAGAAAACAAAACAAAACAAAACAAAAAACGAAATACTTTTACAATAAACATTTTGCTTGTGCAGGTTGCTACAGACAGGAACTACTAGCCTTTCGCTAAGATCTCTGACCGTCCAATCAGAGGACGTGAACGTGCTGACGTTATCGTAGGCCAGCTAGCTGGTCCTGGGACCACCAACTCTCAGTCTGATTGGTTAAAGCAACAATTTCATTGCAATGCATTTTAAGCTACAGGTGTCTGCACTTTTGATTCTGAAGGCTTCAGGGCAGAATTCTTTGACCCTGGCAACACATGATGGCTGAAACATGATTGGATAAAAGCTCTAATATAAACATACGCTGCTGGAAGCGCCACAGCCCAGAGACACGCTATGAAATAAAGAGAACAGACTATTGGGAATAAAGTTAAAAGAATAATGGGAAAATATTACAACATAAGTCAGTGATTCTGATAGAGTTCAGGCCAGCAGAGAAGGCCTTGCTGGTCCTGACGGCACACCACAGGTTGGAACTGAAGGAGCCTCTTAGATGACACGTAAAACATGTTCAAGAATCTAGAAAAGGAAGTCCAGTTGTATTTTACTGAAGGTCCCAGAGACATATCAGAAACATTGCCTGTTTCTTGTATTCTTTTACAGTTACTGGTTAAAATGACTCATTAAAAGTGGACCAGCAACGTAATGCAAAGCTCAGAATTAGTGCTATGTTATACAGCACCTTTCAGCAAGGCAATATGGAGGACTTAATATGAGATATAAACAGTAATAATAAAACACAAGAGAAGGCAACGTCATAAAAAAAGACATCCGTTGAATTTAAAATAGTAGAATAAAATAAAGAATAAAAATATGCTACAAATAAAACCAATAAAAACTACATTGCTGCTTAAGTGTGGCAAAAGGTATAAATTAATATGAATAAATAAATAAACTGCCCCAAATGTAACTCAACAACATGCAGATTTCAAGTTTGTTCCACACGTTAAGCAGAAAAACAGAATGCGTTTCCTTCATTTTCAGTTTTAGCAGCGCTTGATAAACCACCTGTATAATCTTAAAGAGGCAGCAGCGTTCTACCTCTACTGTAGAAGTGTGACTGACTTTTTAAAGGCTTCTACCTCAACATAACTTTTGTTCAATTTGGAATAAAGGAAAGCTCTTGAAACAATACAGAGAAACGTTAGAGGTTGTCGTCTGTGTAAAACTAACCTCGACCAAAAATGATTTAATTTACGTGTAAATATTAAATGTTTGTTTTTGTTTTCTTTCATCCTTTGCCAAAGTATGTTTGCAAGAGTTTGTCAGAGACCATATTTTAGGTGCCACATGTCATTACTTCTCAAGTACGTCCTATAACTGCGTCTTCCAAGAAGTCGTATCATTGTCGAGAAAACGAAAGAAAAACCACGTTTAAATCACTGAGGCACGATGGGGAATTCATGCAGACAGTTCTTTTGACAAGACAGCAGGTCAGACCAGATCAGATATGCAGATAAAAGGATTTTTCGTGTGGATGTGTGCAGCTCTGTTCAATAGGACGGAAAGTATTTGCAAGAAAAGAACAACTATCAGATTAGATTATTATTGTCAGCTACAAAGAGTGACTTGGTATCAAAACCCTTTATTCTGGAAGAATTTTTTGATTGGTGACGAATGCATTAATTAGCGTTCAGTGTGAACAGCCACGGTGCACCAACACACCCCCCGGGGGCATCAGTGTCAGTGAGCCTGGACTCAGAAAGGGTCCATTTAACCCTAAACTCCAGAGTCCTATCGCTAAGACATCAGTGAAACCATCTGATACATGGGTGTGACCTTCACCAAGCAGTCAGCACATGAAATTTTCTATTTATGGCTGTCAGGTGGACCAGCCCCACCCAGCAAAAGCAGAATGTAGAAAGTACAAAAAGTTTTAGAATGACCCCAGTTTGTAATCTGACAAAACATAATTAAAGTCAGACAGTACACTCTCCTTTCATATAACCTACATTCATCCATCCATCCA